TGACACCCTGCTTAGCTAGCGGCCAGTTCGTTGTACGTTGAATTGATTGTCTTTCCGAAGACCTGAGATAGTTTCCAGCAGAGAAGAATCATTTCAAACGTCCAATTGGCTACACCATTGGTAGGGCATATAGATAGGCTCGGATCTGCATAATTATTTTGTATTTCCAAACGATGACAGCACCTTACGTAATTAATTGTCATGTGATTTTGATCATCTACCCTGTGAATGGAACACGATGGCTCTTAGAAGAGACCTGTCCAATTGACGTTTCGTCTGCATCGTTTAAAATTATATGCCGAGAATTGATTTTTAAGGGTTACAGTATTCATTATACCGACGATCCCAAGGCAGACATTGAAAAATGGAACGTGAAACTTCTGGACACGGAGCACACCGTTCTGCTGCAGAACCTTCAGCCAGAAACGACGTATACTGTCATGCTTCGAGCATTCAATCAGGACGGCTTTGGGCCGTTCTCGTCACGGTTTGACATAAGAACCACTACTCAAAGTTCGTCAGCAATATTTTTTATTTAAGCAAGATAAGGATTTAATAAAAAATTTATTTAATAAGTTCCGTCTTTCAGCCATGGAGCCACACGTCTTTATGTACAATCAATCATACGTAGAAATACCGCCCGGCAAATCTGTCACCCTCACGTGCGTAGCTTCTGGCTTTCCGATTCCAAAACTGACTTGGACTAGAAATGCTGAAGAATTAAGCACGTTGTCGGAAGCGGGTCGAAACGGTTCGATGGAAATTACACAAACGCTGGTGCTGGAAGAGGTTTACGAATCAGCTAATTTCGAATGCAACGCGGTGAATGCCGTCGGCAGCGACAAAGCCTTCGCAGAAGTGCATGTGACAGGTAGGAAACCGGCAACAGCGCTGCACCGATCCTGTGAATAATAAGCAGTTATTGTCAACGGTTGATGGGCTGATGTTTTTTTTTTCACTATTACGCTCGGCTCAGAATCACCTGCCATGCACACCACGTAGTTTCAGAGCAAGACACGAGCTTTGTCAAATGGCATGTATTTTTATGGACATCAAGTTCGGTCAATATCTGCGTCTTAAGGACCACGGAGTTATGATGTATGATATCGATGACAAAGTGTACAGATTTTCACCATCAGGCTTTTTCGATCCACTGTAAACTAAAACTAATTGAAGCTTTTGTTACAAACTTCGGTTTTCTGCCATTTCTACCCATTTTGATGCGGCAAACTTCTTCAGCTCATCCTGCCATCGATCTGGAGGTCTTCATAAGGACCGCTTGCTCTCTTTTGGAGACCATCATAATCTTTCACTGGTCCAACGATGGTCATTTCTTAACGTGTCCCGCTGATTGCCTCTTTAATTTCATCACTTAGACAATGACATCGCAGATTCGTCTTCTTATCCTGTCTTGTTATTCCAAACATACGTCTTTCCATGTTGTTTTGCGCAGTCTGCAGTATATGAATAGCCTTCAGACTTGAGGTCCACGTTTTTCACTTAGCCCATAGACTAGAATCAGATGCACGCACTGATGGAATACCTCCTGTTTCAAGCACAAACGCGATTTTTTGATTTCAGAATATTTTCCGTCATCCAAAAGTGCTTTATGTCACTTTTGCTTTTCTGCTGATTTCGCAGACACGATTCTCCGTTGCAGAGATGAGCTGGCCTAATCAAATGTAGTTTTCGCCTTTCCAAGACTAAGTCCCTTGTTTTCAACAGACCCAAAGGTCAAGCATTTGTAAAACATGAGCTGAGTCTTCTTTAGATTCGGTTTCATTCCTATTGTGATGCTGGCGCCGCTCACCTCTTGTATTCATTGCTAGAATTCTGGTGATCTTGAAGGATGGAAATATCATCCGTTTGTTGCGCATTGCCCAAGTAGTGTCCATTTTTGTTCAGCCCTTGAGTTTCCTAACGGAGTGTCATGAAAGCCTTTTTCATCGCTGCTGTGAGTAACTTCGACAATATTGGGTCTCCCTGTTGGCCGGCCGTTTTTCTCCAATTTTCAACTTGTTCTTTTGTGAAGCTCACACACAGTTGCAGGTCTACTGTTGATTAACTCAGCCATGATGAGTGCGGAGGCGAATTGCAAATTTAAAATGCATCAGATCAAAGAGCATGGTCAAGAATCTCGCCAGCTTTGGTATAACCAGCATCCGTATATCTTAAACTTGAAGACTTCCAGTGTGCTACTGCTCGCCAATATACAATCGTATGTGATGCATTTTCCTCTAGTGCACAAGGAAGAACGATTTCTAACGAATCTTGAAACAGCTGGCTGACGAGGCGATGGCAAGAATATGTTCCATATTGCCCATTCATCTACCCATTTTCAAAGCCCATTATTACGTCCTGTCGAGGGGGTTCGAATCTGAACTTTTAAGTGCTAAAGTCAACTGCCATTTATTGCAATGCTGCTCTGCTTATGTCACATTAGCGTCCAGAATTAGCGTCCAGACAGACACTTCCACAACTTTCCAAAGAACTTCGTTGACCTGAGACTTTTAAAATCCATAATTGACTTTCCTCTGAATTCATTCATTCGATCACGCACTCGATTTATTTATTCCTTTTCAGAGTCCACTATTGCATTTTGAGTGTGAACGCAGCGACTTTAGGAGGTTATTCTGATGTCACCATTCCTCCATTTTCAGGTACATGAGTTCAGTATATTCTAGCCAGATTACAGTGGCCATGTCCCAGGGTTGCTTCGCTAGCTAGAATCTGTTTTTAGAGTCTGGTTGGCATCGTCCTCGCATTTTTGATCTGGCGTAGGAGCGATTCACAAACAAGGACACTTCTGATTGCAGTGATCGGCAGCTTGTTAAGCCTCGCCACACAAACAGTCCTTCGAATTAACTTGATTTCAATTACAAGTTGTATACGTATAAAATATAAGATAATAGACGTCTGTACTTCACATATTTAACTAGTAGCATAAACGTACCTTGAGTTGTACAAAGCAAATGTCAAGAAAGAGGAAATACGAGTTGCCGATAGCATAGCTCAATGCTTTGTAAGCAAACTGACCATCGTAATTTTCCGTTGCAACAGTTTATAGATAACTTGTCGTTTTAGCCAGTTAACTTATTAAACTGAAATAATTTATTAGGACCTGGCAGTGCACCTCAAGACATCCAAATGAATGTGCATGACACTGTGGCTGAACTCAAATGGGAGGAACCGTTGATTCCCAACGGAGAAATTCTGGTGAGGAGAAATGCCTTTGCTCCGCTACCGGTCATTTGATGTGTTCAATGCTTTAGGACTATTCAATCTTTGTGACGACAAATCAAAGCTTGCCTCTGTCTGAGTGGGATCAGTATCGAGTGATTGGAAAGCAGTACGTCCTGAAGAACTTGACGCCCTCGAAGACCTACTACGTACGAATAAACGGAAATTCAGACGACGGTGCCGGAGTTTTGTCAGAAGTATTGACGTTTCATGCTGAACGCTCAGGTACAGGGTTCACAGATATTAAAATGGCTAGCGAATAATAAAAGGCGCCCCGTTCGACAGGCGTGGCGGCTGAAACAAGTTTGCAGCCAAGTGATCCCGTTTTCGAAGTTGCTCCTGGCAGCAAAGTGACGATCTCATGCACGGCTACGGGATACCCGCCTCCCGTAGTGACATGGTATCGAAATTATGAATATTTTGGATACGGAGATTTCCATAAACATCCGGATAATGAAGAATTGGTCATTTCTAATTTTACCATAAACAGTGCTACCGAAAGTTGCACCTTGCAATGCCGTGCCGAAAACCCGTTTGGTGCTCACATCAGCAACGTCACGATCAGAGTTCTTGGTAATAATTTGCTTTTAAATTCGTACATTAGCCCTGTGCTGAACTGGTCTGCATTGCCACAACTTCAAGTTTAAAGCACCCGCTTCACGTGACAAAGCATTACTTTACAAAATTCTACCATAATTATATACAGCCCTCCCGCTGCTCAGTTTTTGTAAGTCAATGACATATAATACACGCGTTTTGGTTGATTACACGTCAACGCAGATCATCAGTTCATTTGTCTGACAAATGTTGTTTCGAAGTACATTATTTTCATGTCATGCATGAATGTCAAGGTTTAAAGCCATGTAAGTTACAGGCAGCACGAATTATGAATTATTTCATAACTCATTAAAGCTTTGACCCTAACTAGTTCGTACACTACCTCAATGTGATACTATGGAGTAGTAGGTTCTCAAGACGATGAACGATTGAGACTCATGCCTCTGGTAAGTTCAACCATGCCCTGAAGGTTTCAGAAATATTTCCGGCCAGGTAGAAGAGGCAGTACTTCAACCGTCTGAAATATTCTCTGTACTATATCGACATGGGGAGTCTAACCGTTCATATCAGAAGGCTCATATTTGCCGCTTGAACTCGAGATCGATGTTTTCAGTCATGGTCCGCGCCTTACAGTTATAAGTAAGCATGTAGATGAAAATCATTATGTGAAATATTAATTTCATTATTATTATAATGAAAAACTAGGTGTGGTTTGACGCTACTATATTTCAGCAGAGGAACTGCTCCCTCTGTACATAAATTTATTTCTCTCTAGGTCCTGGTAGCCCACCGTTAAACGTGCGCTGTATTGTCTACAGCACAACTATTGATCTCAGCTGGTCAGAACCTGCGATAACAAATGGCCTGATCAAAGTAATGCGAACTGGCTGATAAAGAGCCTGAATTGTTAATCAAATTTATCTACAGCATTACAACGTTCGATACACCAAAAAAGACATGATGGAAAGGGATTCCTGGCAAACGATCATGGTCCCAGGCAACACATTCAATCATATCATAAACAGCTTGGATCCAGAAACCGAATATTTGATTCAAGTGAACGCTGTTGGTGAATTCGGCCCCGGACCAATGTCAAAGCCATTGTTCGTGGAAACAGGCAAAGAAGGTAGTGTTCTTTCGGATCACTAGATTACCACCACATTACTGTACTATCGTTCTTAAGAGAAGAAGCCAGAAGTTACTCTGCACCCCAACTCATCGCATTACCGCCTCCCTTGGGGAGAAGAAATCAAGGTCAACTGTTGCTCGTCTACTTTTCCGGAGCCAGTGATTACTTGGTATCGCTCAACGGTGCAAATCGCTGATGGACCGGGTTGTGCTGCGCTGGAGGTGAAAGTTACGGAGTCGGCGTTTTATGAATGCAGAGCGGTCAACCGGATCGGCGTACAGACGAAGGGAATTGAGGTTAAAGTTGAAGGTAAGAATCTGACAGAAATTGACAGCCTTCAACCGGTCAAGCTCTCCTTCTGCCTCCCGTGATATCGCATTTGACTCGGGGAATCTCTTGCGTTTCCGGGTCGTTTAATTCCCAGCTGATCTTCCTATTCCAACGAAGCCTTCTTCCTCTTTTAAAGTGCATGCCTGTTGTTTAGGGGTTGGGCTGTTCGTGACGAAACGGTGTTGTGGGTTGCCGGACCTGTTGCACTGTATTTGCGCACGTATCACGGCAGAACGGTTCGCTTTAGCTGTAGCTCCTTCTCCATTCCACACCGTAGACACCTCGATCGCGAACAGTATTTAACCTCGCTGCTGACTTATTGAGAAGTGCAGTACGAAAGAGATTACATTTACTTATAAAGCGCTAAACTCATCATGTGTGATCAAAGATGCCTTGTATCACAAAAAATGGCATGTGTTTGCGAAATTGTCAGATGGTGCTTCGAAGGATTTGAAAATTAGAGCTGATCTGGAGTACATTGTGTCGGAAGCAACTGTTAACTTAACTCAAGGCATTCGTGCCATTTCGGCAACTGTTTTGACAAGCTGATGTGAGGTTCCTTTCTTCTACTTTCATCGGATATTAGCCGTTTATGTGATCCAGGACAATTCCATTCTTAATATATCGAATATATTATTAACATATCTTTTGAATGGATGCGATCAACCTTTCCTGATAATCTTGGAGAATATTTGCATTTCAAGATGTTTCATGAAGAATCCCTCTATAAGTAGACGAAAAGTGAAGGCTACCACTGTTTTGCTGGTATGCTTCTCTTTCGCTTCTAAAGCAGCGGTGTTTCACAAGACAGATCTTCAGAATATCAGAATACTTGAGGCGAGTACTGTTTTCTTAGTCAATGGTGAATAGGCTTAGCTTTCCACCCAAGATCGCGATGAATTCTTTAAACAGCCGACTGTTCAATAAGTTCTTGACGTTGTTCCTAATCTTAACGTTTATATTTTCCTATCGTTAAAGTAAGAGAACACTTACTGTACTCCTCCATGGATGCGTTG